AGACAAGTCTGGTACCAATTAACCGACCCCTGGGAGATGGAAGGCTTGGTTGGCCCGGGCGACTCGCGACCCAGGATTTGATCCCCGGACCGTTCGCGTGGTAAGCGTGCCACTTGCCACTACACCAGTCTTCGATTATGAATTAAAAACGAATGCGCGGCGAATTTCATGGAAGATAGAGCAACGCTGAAAAATCAATCATTTTCATGCTTTTTTTTTAGGATAATCTGGACCATTCGAGGTGGCGAATGCCCTCCTATTTCAAGAAACTTTCCAATACGACTGTTGAGCTCACAATCAGTCAGTGGTTACGGAGTCCTTTCTCGAAAGGCTGACCGCCCACTGGGCAACTGTAGAGCGATCGATGGAATACCGAGACTGCTGTACTGTAAAAAAAACTGTTGTAGTGGAAAAGCGAGAGATTGTAGTTCGATTTAATAAGAGGGCCATCGCGAAAGCTTCAAGGAAAAGCAATTCGCCATATAATAGATCTATCAGTGTGCAATCAGAATGAAAATGGCGAAGGCAACTCCCACTCAGAGCACCAACACAAGCGCAAATGCATTGGAACGTTTCTGTGTGTAAAAGCCCTTTTTATAGTAATTTGCAATGCATTGTATGTGTCGACAGGAAAAAATAAGAAGCCCTTAATTGCCCGGTTATAATCCCACCCTGCAAAGTATAAACGTGGATGTCAGCTAATTGGCACACCGAACGTTATTATGTGCTGCTCAAGGGAACCGTTCGCGGAAAATCGTTCAGTCCTGATAGATGCGTCATATGTGGCAATTTCAGTGCACAATCTCCCGTGCATGAAAAGCCACTTTCCGGAAAGAAACAAAGCTTCAAAAACGGACGGCTTACAGATCCCTAGAAGAAGCGGTCAGTGGGGTTTATGAGATGTCTAGTAAAGTAAGTGTAACTATGGATCAACCGTGCCTTCTTCACCCCATGTACGTAGAAGTAGCATTAATAAACCAACTAAGGTATCACGAGCGGTCATAACAGTCTTTGCGGCACTTCTCAGAGAAATTGAAAATTGAATTGAATCTGATAAATCCTTAGCAACCGCACCTACACCCTTCAACCATATCTTTTTGTTCCTGTGTTAGGCGTAAAAACACTTCATTATGAATTATTGAAAACAGCATCAATTCAAATTGGGAGGTATGAAGTGACAGGACCGGTTTTGATCAGAGCCCCTGAATAGAATGAGCATCGGGGAAGGTTTGAATAATGTATTCCCCCTTCATTTAATTTTGTCCTCGTAAACAATTTTGCCAGATTTTCAATTATTCACCATTTGTATGTTTTTTGTTGCGTTCGTAGCGATATTACGGTCACAACTGCTAGCAATTCACCAGGGTGGGCTCACTGTCACTGTAACGATTAAGGGATTTAGAGACTAAACTGCGCCATACCCCATAGAAGCATGTACTTGACGTTGGCGGTGGATTTGAACAATTGCCTCTTGCGCCTTTCTGCCCTTTCCGATAAGTATTGCTGCCCTTGTACGACATGTTCGCATAAATTTCTTCTTCGGTCTGTGCAACCGGTTTTCGAGCAACACCCGTGCGATCGTTTTGGTAATCATTTCAGTTTCCTTTGCCATATGCTGATGCCAATGCTTATCATCATACGATCTCGGGACACTGTAATGTTAAATCGCACGACGTCAATGCGTGGATGCGCCAATGATGTGCGCGAAGCCGTCTCACAGAACATGGTCCCGTGATGGCGCTCGAATTTAGACTGGCGTTGTAGTTCTTTCAGTTGATGTCTGGTTGACTGTCTGATCATTGTGTAACAGAGGATGGCATGAGTCGTTGGTCACTAGGATGCTGGTAGACTTTGTCCCTGAAGGCTTTTAGTAGCAGTTGGATCGGCTGAAGTGCGAGGCAGAAAGGCAACTGGGATTTGTGCGTAACTCATTTAAATATCATCTCTTCGCACAGAGGGTTCGCTGAAGCCTTAACTGCTGAGCTTCACAGTAGGTGTTTTATTCAGCTCAACCTAAACAAGTTCCATAGTACCTTGACACGATCCTCAAGCTGCCCTTTCGATCATTCATCAGAATGCCATGTTTCGGCGGTGTTGGACAGTAGTTTTCCTCTGAAAATGTTGGAGTCTGAGCACTCACAGCCTTACAATTCTGTACTGGCAAAACAAGGAGATTCTTAGCCAAAAATATTCCGTTTTCTGACACTACATGGGCTAAATGTCCGTTCGAATCGCTGTCAAAACACTTTCAACTCTTCACCTCACTGAGTTTCTTGATACCTTTAACTTAACCGTGTTAGTGAAGTTCGTCATAACGAAAATGTTTCGCACGATTTTTTTTTCCACAACTCGCTTTCCAACTAAAAAGCAGCACCTATTGGTTGAACAGAATTCCTGTTAGTATTTGAATGAAAATGTTAAGCTGGATAAGGAATTGATATTCCCATGAGGCTGTTTTAGGGGTACTTTACTTCAGGGAACTGTTACCACTTCTTGTGTCAGGGAGCGGAACTGATTGTGTCGGAAATCTTTCTGTTAAGGATTACAATGCACTACGAGAACACAGGTGGCCGGTTGTTCGCGATCGAAAAGTCGCTATAGTGGGGCCAGGGCTTACAATTGATTTGGTTGTGCTAATGGACCTGCGACGAGTACCCCGCACCTAGCATGAAACATGGATCAACACTAACGTACGATTAACGAGGCAGACAGGGTAAAGCCGCGTAGGATGGGTAGGTAGATAGATATGGTAGATGCATCGCATTGATGAGATTATTTCAAAAAAGCACGTCCAGACACTTCCTTTCCTCGCCATCATTATCAACCGTTGTTACCTCACCAATTCGAGTGTGGCTCTTGCTTTACCGAGTTCCATGAGTTGGCAAGAAAAAGATCTCAGGGCAATAGAATGCTGGGCCAAACGTTACGTGTGCATGACATTTGGCTCCATTTTTCGCATAGTATAAAGCATTTGGGCGCGCTTTGAGGTTTCATAGAAGAACAATTTATAGGCCAAAGCGTAAAGGGTGATTAGGTAGGGTTATTCAACTGAAGTTTTAAATAATGTGGACGTTAACAACCTTTGCCGCACCATCGATTGAACCAACGAACAAATTGATGTCTGGCTCAAAACTGGTTGTGACCATATCGAAAATTCCTTTTAATTAGAAGATGCTCAGGCCTATTCTTTCCAAGGTTTGTAGGCAAAGAACAATTTAGGCGTTTTTGGCGCACGTAATTTTTTCCACCCTGTAGTTCCTCTCATTGTCAGGCCTTTCCTTACCTTTTCCTTATGTACCTAGTACTAGAATGAAATCCTTTCTATATCTGTCTAAACGATGAACCATACCTCTCTTCGTGCATCACTTTTGTTCTTCATGATTTTCACAGGTCCTTTCGATCCAGCTTTTCTAATTTACTATTTTGTTATTATTTTTCAAAGGTTTCCTGCTGGTTATCTTTGTTGTTTGTTTACTTAGAAGGACTTTATGACACCATTCCCTTACCGAATTCCGAGCAAGACAACTTCAGTTCCGTTGAACACAGAACAGCACACTGTCGCATGCTACTTATCGGCGCCAATTTTTCAGGCGATTGTCGTCGACCGTTCCAATCCGAATAAATAACTCTGTCAACACCCGCCACCAAAAACACTACGCGGCGATGATTGCTCCAATTGACGGCGATGTTTTATTGAATGGCGCTGTCATGATCGGTCTTTGAACTCGTTCCGGATTCTTGAAACAAGGAGTCACTGCCTCTTCGTTCTTTTTTGAGCCCAGTTTTGGAGTAGATGATTGATAACATTTATCGAGCATTTCCTACGCGAATCAATTCCCGAAGTTTTTTCTCTCAAACGCGCTACGCTCAAATTTCGATGGAAAATGTCGCTTCTTCACTTCATTCCATTTTCGAAAAACGATGCCAAACAATGGAAACGGCGCTTGGATACGAATTTTTCTTGTGTAATAAATTCTCACTTTTTCCTGGAAGTCGCACCTATTCCCTTTGTTATCGCGTCCCTAACCTTACGTACAGAACACGGTGTATGAAAGCGTTTTGTTTATTTGGCACTGTTCCATTTCTTCTTCATCCTCATCACTTGATGCCAGACTTTTCTGGTTGCAAAAAAAATAAGTCATAATCGGCCAATACCCCAAATATTGCTCTTCATCACAAAAATCAGAGGAAATTTCTTGGATGCTCCATATCTAGCTACGTAACGGCTATCTTGTCAGCTACGATATGATCCATGTTTCATGCTAGGGGGCGGGGTAACTCGTCCGCAGGTTCACATTAGCCACACCAAATCAATTTGTGAGGCCCTGTCGCCACCATAGCGAGCTTTTGAGCCGCGCAACAGCCAATCTGTGATACTCGTAGTGCATTGTGTGTCCTTAACCCAGAATAGATCTTCGACACAATCAGTTCCGCTCCTGACACAAGAAGTGGTGACTGTTTCCTGAAGTAAACTACCTCTAAAACAGCCTCATGGGAATATCAATTCCTTATCCAGCTTAACATTTTTTCATTCAAATCCTAACAGGAATTCTGTTCAACCAACAGGTGTTGCTTTTTAGTTGAAGAGCGAGTTGTGGAAAAAAAAATCGTGCGAAACATTTTCGTTATGACGGAACTTCACTAACACGGTTAAGTTAAAGGTATTAAGAAAATTCTGTGAGGGTGAAAGAGTTGAAAGTGCGATTTGAACGGACATTTAGCCCATGTAGTGTCAGAAAACGGAATATTTTTGGCTAAGAATCTCCTTGTTTTGCAGGTACAGAATTGTAAGGCTGTGAGTGCTCAGACTCCAACATTTTCAGAGGAAAACTACTGTCCAGCACCGCTGAAACATGGCATTCTGATGAATGATCGAAATGTCAGAGGATCGTGTCAAAGGTGGCTAACGAACTTGTCCACGGTTGAGCAGCAAAAACATGATACGAGGCTCAAATTAAAGGACGAATTCACGATTAGAATGAAGGTCGAAGAAGGAGTAATTCACCTAGTTGAGGGACCCGCGGACCTCCTAAGGGTGCGGACTGAAGCGCAATTGGCACCGAAAGGAGTTGACCTCGGCGACCTATTAAGGCTCAATCTTGGCGCGGTTGGCCAGTGCACGCCCACCGATCATCTGATCACTCGCCGCAGGTCTATACGTGGCGAGTGATTAGATAGGTGAGAGAGCGTAGTGTTGAAGACAGCGATGAGAGTCGCATCAATGCTCAAATCAACGGGCAAGGAAGGGGTCCCATTTCTCGGGTTCTGGGCCGTTTCTCATGGTTTTTCCTTCTTTCGTGTACCACTCACCATCCCTAAGTTAATTTGAAAT